AGTTAACTAAGAAAAAGTGTGCGTAGTTTAGAAAACAGTCACAAAACCTCTTCATTACTATAATTTTAAGTGTATAAAAAGACTTTACTACCTTCGTGGTTAAGTATCAAAATACTTTTCACTGATATTAAGAAAAATAATTAATCTAGTTGATAATATTAAATTGTTCTATTTTTATATTTTTTCAAAGCTATTTTGTATATTTTTTTCCAAAATTACCGTTATTATTTAAAATTTATCTCTTAAAAGTGTTTACTCTCCTAAAATTTTTAAATATATGTTTTTGAAGAGTTTATAATCAATATATTTCATCAAATTAAGAAAATATATTTTACTTTAAAAATAATTTATACATCAAATATTACGAATTGTGTTTTATATAAAAAAAAATATATAATTATTCTAAATTGAGTCTCGTAAATAAAAATGAGGTAGTAATATTGTATATTAGGTGAAACCAAGTAATAATATTTTAAACATAAAATTTAAATATAATTTCTTAGGTGCAATTGATATTATTTTTTATCAAAGTTTCACCTTGATATTATGTAAGCATATTTAATATAAATTTTATTAATATATATTTATGCATATCATCGAGATAAATCTTGAACTCTAATCAAAGAATCACTTAAGAAATTGGAGCTAAATTTTATCCATATTTTAATGATAAGCATTTAGTGTTTTTTACACATTCAAAAAGAAGTAAGGAGAGAAAATGAGAAGAAAACGGAGACCATCTTTAACCCAGCCCAGGCCCAGAAAACGTAACCAGCAAAGTACAGTTTTACCCTTCCCTATTCCCGGAATTTTCCATAATACCCCTTTGAATTGGCGAAATGTCAAACCGAAAGACCCAATTTCTCATTCTTACATCCATCCCCATCTTCACCAAAACAAAACCAAAGTTCATTTCTTTCTTCTGTTCTTTTCATTCCTGGAGAATGACATTAGAGAAAAACAAAACCCCATAAATAAGTGCCATTCTTCTTCCACCGCCAAAAAAGATTCATTTTTTCCCTCTAAATGCCACACCCATTTGAATAAATCCCCCAACAGAGAAAAGGGGTTACGAAATTTTCCATGATCATCAATAAATAGCGGTTGTTGTTGTTGTTGTTGTCGGGAATCGTTGTTTTTATTTAGACATGCTCAAGTTGTGGAAATGGTACCAGAATTGCTTGGCGGTTCACCCTGTTAAGACACAGGTCATCAGCTCTGGCTTGATTTGGGGTGCTGGTGACATAGCTGCTCAGGCAGTTACCCACTACACTGCCAAGACCCATGTCACAATAGATGAGGTATTCTTGTTATTTGTGTTGTGTTTGTATTGTTGCCTTCAAAGATTTTGTTTTTGGGATAATGGGTGTGTGTGTGTGTGTGTGGGTTTTGGGAGGAGTGATCATGGTTTGGTGTGTGGCCTTGTTGTCAAAATTAGAAGGGTTTGGGATTGTGTGAGTATGTGTGTGGCAATTGCATGTGGAATGAATGAATGAGGGAGTGAAGGGAGGGATTTGTGGTTGTTTTGGTGGAAGGATTTTCCCTTAAGATGGTACATGCT